TGGTGAGCAGAGTAACTGCAGCTCTCGTTAATTGCTGATGGGAATGCAAAATGGTACAGACACTTGGAAAAACAGTTTTGCAGTTTCCTATAAAGTTAAACATATATTTACCATATGGTCCCATGGTCCCACTCCTAGATATTTACCCAAGAGAAATGAAAACACATATTCACACAATAGTGGCGTTATTTGTAACTGCATCAAACTGGAAAGAACCTAAATGTTGGTGGGTAGATAAACTGTGGTACATATATATAATGAAATGATATTCAGCAATAAAAAAACTAACTGCCGACGTACCCAACAACTTGGATGGATCTCTATGACATTATGCTGAGAGAAGCCAGACTCAAACAGCTCCCTACTGTATAACTCCATTTATATTATATTCTGAAAAAGGCAAAACTGTGGGAACAAAGAACAGCTAGTGTTGCTAGTGGCTGGGGGTAGTGGGGAGGGGACTGACCACAAAGGGAGAATTTTAGGGTGCTGAAACTATTCTAAAACTTGATTGTGGTGGTGGTGGGCACACAACTTTATATTTTTGTCAAAACTTATAAAACTGTGTTCCTAAAAAGGGTACATTTTACTGTATATAACAAACTTAATAAACCTGATGTAAAAAATTATGTTTATTTTTCCACCAATATAGTAAATACTTACACAAAGCTTTTCTAAGAGCTTTAAATATGCACTTTTTTTTCATGGCTTCCTTGCCATTGAAATAGAGAGGCCATAAAAGCCAATAAAAATGAATTTGTTTTTTCATGTTTTATTGCCTCTGCCTAAATGAAGGCAACTTCTAAGAGTCTCACCATAAGAATGCAGTTTTTCTCATGATTTTAAAGTCTGTGCAGCCTTTGTTTCCTGGACTATACCTGCCCCTGAGAAATCAAGAGCCTGGATTTACAGCAAAAACATTTTTTTTGACTCCAGTCCCCTCCTGAAGGAGTTGGGCCTATAATACCACCTCCTGTGAGCTGGTGGCCAATTTATTATTCTTCCCGAACTGGCAGAGGTACCAGGAACACCAAGAGAAAACACACACACACACACATACCCTTTCAACCGACACATCAGGGTGTTCTTCAGTCTCCCCAAATATCAGGGGCTATGAGACAAAGGCCCACCACTGGCCATTTTAATTGTTGTCTTTCAACACAGCATAACACGAAGTTATGCAGCATAAGTCCACTTCCGTCAGTGTGCCACGTCAGCAGAAGACAACCACCTTTGGGTCAGCGACCACAGTCTTGTCGATCGGCTGCGGCAAAGATGTGCCTCTCGGACCTAGTTTCGAAGAGTAGGAAGATGTCCCAGGTGGGTAGCAGAGCTTGCTTATAGTTATGTGGTCTGACTCAGGAAGGAAACGTGGCTTCAGTGTCTAGGGATGGACAGGTGTCAGAGACGGAGAAGGACAGTGGTGTAAAACAGTTGGATCTCTACTACTGCATCTTCCAAGAATTCCGCTGATGCTCGTTCCTTGTCACTCTCACGCTAGCCCTATGAGCTAATATCGTTATCTTCCATTTATACATGTGGAAGTAAGACCAAGAAGCGAAGCGGCTGTCGAGGGTAAGTCCTTGGTGGCAGAGCCGAGCTGTGAACCAGGTCTGACTGCAAAAATTCTGCTCGTTCTGTTACAAGGGGAAGAGGGTAATTTCTCCAGCTCCTTGGCCCGCATGAAGTTACTGTGAGACCTGAAATTTGTCATCTTAACTTTCATGCCATCCGTAATCTTATTTGTAAAGATTGTTTTTTAAAGCATTCCTGTGCATCAGTTTTACTAAGAGGAATGAACTGAGGAAAGATGTTAACCAGGCACGAGTTTCCACCTCATCCTGGGATCAAGACAACTGTGGAGCACGTAGGGAGGTAGAGAGACAATCAGACTCACCAGAGTCCTGAGAAACCATGGCGGAGGGTGCCAAGAGGGACACAGTCAGAGGTCAAGTAGGTGTCCCTGTCCACCTGGAAATTTATTCAGTGCTCCTTCTGGTTCAAACCTTGGGGGACATGGAATTGTTATGACAAGGGAGGCAGTTCCTTAGTGGGGCTGGCATGGGAGTGTGGGTCCAGGGTTGTCAGTGGATATTGGCTCCCTTTGCACCTCTAGACTTGGTTTTCAATGATGCCACCTGGATTCCACTTGTGCCCACTGCTGGCCCTGCCACTGCCCAATGGGTCCCACCCATTTCAGGTCCCACCTCCTTTCTGGCAAGGCTTTAGTAGTTTTGAGGTAGTCTGTTCACCAGCACAAACTTGGGGGTGAGGAATTCCACAGACAACCCCTTCCCAGCAGCCTTCTCTGGTGCCTGGAGCAGAACACTGTCCCATCTTCCCTAACTCTGGACTCTCCAGCTGTTTCCATCTCCTTTCTCAAGGTGCTCAGGGCCCGAGCACTAAAAGCACACTAGATAAAAATGATGACTCATCATCGGGGCCTTTAGGGCCTTGAATGCTTTGTACCCTCTCCCAAAAGGTAGTTATGCAACTTGTGCACAGGGTACCGCATACCACCCAAAAGCAGAGACTCAAAGAGCAAACATTTCAAAACTATGTTTCTTCCACCAAAGTCAGTGCCTTTGCTCAAGTTCACCCTTTTGCCCAGCACATAATCATAAAAAGAGTTTGTTTGTTGAATCAGTGTAAAGGGTGAACACTAGATCTTTTATTTGTTTATGTAACATGTTCCTCTTTCCAAGGTTATCTCACCAGTTTTCTTGATTTTATAAGTACTCACTTCAACTTTCTGTGCCAATATAATGCAGAAGTAGTACAGTAGACCCAATTCTCAAATTAACTATATTTGACCTTGGAAGGAATTATTCTGATACTTAAACATGAATGTGGTGTCTCTTCCATCATACAAATCCACAATCCGATGCATCAAAAAAAGCGAGATGCACAATCTGATGCACTCACTTTTAGGGGCTGGGAAATGTTCTCTTTTGTGCCCAGAAGCACTATTTGCCGCACCATTTTATTTGAAACAAAATTCCAAGTGGATTCAACCCATAGAATTGTGAGCTAAATAAATGGTGGTTGTTTTAAGCCACTACATTTTGGGGTGGTTTGTTGCACAACCAGAATTCCTCTTTCCCCTGCCATATGAAGGTTCCAATACATCACATTCAAACTGCTCTTTGCATTTGCAGGTAGAGAGAGAAATTAACTCTCCTTAAACATGGGCAGCAGACATTACCCTCCACTTCCCTTTCAACTCTTTCACTAAGTAACCAGGCTGCATTTTCAAGAATTTTCTTATGAGATCAATAGCAGGTGTATCACCAAAGCAAGTATTTTCTGTCCCAAGTTTGTTGTTGAGGGAACAACCAATAAGACACAATAAAACCAACATTTGACACCACAGCACACCACAGAAATCATGGAATAAGTTGGATCAAGATTTTACAATGAGCCCTGTTTTAGCAAGCCATGAAAAAAAAATCATTTATGGTCAAATGTAAGTTTAATAATCTCTTTATCACATCTCCCAAATAATTTTTCATTATTGCTCTCATTTCATTTTGTTTACATTTGTCACATACATCTCTATAATACAGAGACACAGACCTATATTTGTATACATCTCCTATCATTTAATTGCCTTTAGATCAATACAGAATTAGTAGGGATCAGTGTGGGAGAGAACATTACCTTTTTCTGATAGTAAATTCTTATGCATTTTTATACCACCTTTGATTTAAGGAGTTCAAGGTACTTCAACATTCACTGTAGCATCTTTTTGATATCTCTGGGTAGGGAAACTGTTATAATTTATCATTACTGCCTTTTTACAGAAAGAAAAATAAAGGCACAGAAGGGTGAAATAGTCTCAGTGATACGATGAGTCACAGTAGGAAGTCAGGTTTTCAGCTCAGCATTCTACTTTGTGAACTATAACATTGTTTAATATATTCCACATCAAAAGGTATACTGGTTTCTTCCTTTTTTATAACCCCTCTCTCTGGATAGATGTTAACTAAAAGGACAGAACAGACAGTAAATCCCCACCACTGACCGTCCTGGCAACGCAGTTATTTCCTGAAGTTCTTTTTGTCAGCTAGGGAGTCCCATGACTTCCAGAGCCATCCCCTGCTTCTCTATTAAAATAATCATAATAAAGTGCTACCATCCCAGCATTTCCAGAACTGCAACAAGGAGGGAGAAACCAATGATTGATGGTCATTCTCTTTAGCTGGGCATTTGTGGTTATTGAAGTCTGGACAGTGATCACTATTAGCACTTTTATAACCTACCCGATGTGCAAAATTGATTTGCTCAGGTGTTTTAACTTTTCTCTGGTACTTGAGACCAGTATTCACTGGCCACAATGCACAGAACAATGCAGGTGACTTCTTTCAGTCTGACTCTCACTGTTTCCTCTCGCAAGAGCTGATGCCAGGAGAAAAGCACCTCTGGGGTAATAAGTTTTCTTATACTCACAACATGAGGTTTGATTTTTAAGTGCACTGGAAAACAGCAGAAATGTTTTCCACTTCTACAAGGCTAAATTACAGATGCATAATTATATAGGAAGAAAAAAGGGCCTATTGCCTAATCACACTCACGCCAATCTCATCTACAGAAAGAAAATTCTAATTGATATTTCAACTTCATTCTTTCTTCCGTGAATTTCTCCGGCACCTTCTTTTCATTCTGTGTGCAGGCTAGCCCCGTGACCTACTCGTTTTCTACATCTTTTCCAGAGAGGCATCAAGACTAAGAATGCCAAGCAGCAGCAACCTGGATTTTTGGAGATTTAGTTACCACAGTAGCTGATTGCTTCTGCCAGCATGGATAAATAAGCCATGCAGGGGGACAAGGTCACATGCTGAACTTGGTTCTGCTCAAGGATCAACACGAACTTAACATTCGGGGGGAAATAGAACATCACTTCTTTGGTAAAAATGAGATTTCCCTTTTTTCCTTCTTTTAGAAAAACGGGAACACACTATTTTTTCAGGAAATAAAAGTCCCTCCACTGTTCCCTGCACCTCACTCCGTTCCTCACATTTCTAGCCTTTTCCCGAAGGTGCTTAGACACACACCCGGGAAAACCATCAGCAAAACGCTGTGAGAAATGGCACAAAGAAAACACGAAACAAGACCGTCACCTTTAGGAGAATTTTCAGGAAAAACCCCTAGTCAATATAAAAAAGCGGGGGGGGGGGGTAAGAAAAATGTTACGAAAGTGAAATACAAATATAGAGGGAAAAATACACGCCCCAATTGAACAGAACAGTCATAAAAACAAATGTCACAAAGAGGGTCAAAATACTGATGCGATGATAACGGGGGTGGGAGACGGAGGAGAAAAACCACAGAAGACAGTAGGAGGTGGACGGCGGCCAGAGGGCAGAGCGTGCCCATGTGATGGAGATCAGTGGTAGTCGTCCTGATGAATTTCCTTTTTGAAAAGTCACTGTTTCATTAAAGAGCAAGGTGGACAGAGAACGTCGGGCAGTTTTCCATAAATGTACCGATCCGTGGCGCGTGCCAGCAGCGGCGGGGCTGCTCGGGCCGGCGCAGGTCTCGGTGGGACGCGCCACCGGGCGCTCCCGGCCACCGCGGTGAGGGACGCGGAGGAGGGGGCTCG